AGATATCAGCACTAAGTGGTATTATTTTTAGAATTTTTCCTAACACATTTAAGCTTCATCTGGATAGAACAATGCTTTTTTATAGCCAAGATGTAGAAGGCAGAAGTTCAACTGAAGCGAATTTGATATTTTTTTCCCTATGTAGCTAGTAATCATCTTACCTACACTACTTTCTTTTATTCCATTAAAGCAACTGAAGGTTGTCAGTAAAATCCCCACGGATGGTTGAGAGAACTCCCAGCAGATGGCAATAAAGGGGGCTCAGAACCATGACCCTACCCTGGGCGTTGAGCGGTTCTCAAGATGTGCTCCAAGGAGTTTTCATTTAACTACTAAGCTTTCGTGCCACCACCAGTAAACAAGAATTTGGGCTCCCACTGCCATAGTATCACTTGTTCCTGTGTTGCATTAGATGGTGTTGAAATAAATTTAGAAACCAAGTCAAAAGCTACATTTCCAAATACAGACTCAAGTGATGATGCATGCCAAACTATTTCAATCCAACACTATTCCTGCATTTGACTGTTATTTTCCTCAATTTTTTGCACTAATCAATTTTTTTTTAATTAGATCAGCGAAAGAATTCTAAACCTCTGACACAAGCTTGCCAAATTCCAAATTTACTCTGTTCTTACCGTCGATGGTTGGACTTGATGATCTTAGAGATCTTTTCCAACCTATGATTCTATGATCCCCTCCCTTCCCAGAAACAGTTATGGAGAATCCCTTGTTACCAGCTGCAGTATAACAAACCTTGAAGTACTCAAAAATCACAGACAATGCTGTGAAATGCTTAAAAAGCCACCAGTTTGGTAGATGGTAGTTCCAACAACAGGTATGATGTGCTACTTTCCAAGGGAAGTTAGCACACCTCCAGTTATGCTGTTAAGTATCTATGACTTAACAAATTACATTAGGCCGTAATAAAACTACACAGAATATCACTGATATGTTTACTTAAGTCATTTGTCTTGAACTGGAAGAAGCAAAATTCTCAATTATTTTATTACCAGTTTTCTTGTTTGTTAAAAATTTTAGAAATTGTGGTTACACTGAATGCAAGAAAGCAATAAGAAAACCTAACTGGATTTCTCCAATTTCTTCAAGCTTGGAGATACTCACGGACAACTTGACCGAAGTGTGGTATTTCAGAACAGGTCACTGCTACTACAGAAATAACACTGAATAATAAACCTTGGTTTAACCAACGACCCTGCCTCCGACGCAATGGTTTGACGACAGGGGGTTCTTCTCTCTTCCCCGCTCGCTTCTCCAACCCACTCCTGAATCCCATCGTATTGACAAGAGTTTATCAGGAAAGGACCAGGAAACTGGTTTAGCCTTAAATAAAGAAACTAGTTTGCTCTGTTCTTTTTTGAAGAGCAGAAAACCTCAACAAGAACAATATAAAAGCCACCTGGCTCAGTTCCTTATTCTGGTGTACAGCAAGATACGCGCAGTTTTGGGGGTACACCAGACACCTGACAGTAGTCCGCAGCAGATACTCCCCAAAAGACCCCAAGAAATATGGAGAAAGAGGATCCCACTTACCACCATCACCAATCAGCAGCTTAAATCAAATATATATATATTTATATATATATATATTTGTATATTATTTCAAAAACTTAATTTTTTTTCAGTAATGAAGACAAAGTACAGTAGAAACGCTACTCCTGCTCGAGCACTCAGGAATTAAGCGATGCCCATTTCCACTAATCTCCATTTGCTCCCTTACGGCATGACATGCTGTGCCGCAGCACCTCTCCCTCCTCCCATGTTCCTGGCGGACAGGGCTCAGCTCAGGATCACTGATGCTGCCTTTTTCCTTCCATACCCTTCCTAGCCCTAAGAAAGGTCACACATTATCTCCCATAATTTGTTTTTTGAAGTCTAGCGCTCACAAATGAGCATGCACTGGAAGATAAGACCATGCTTCGGCAGGGGGGTTGGACTAGATGACCCACAGAGGTCCCTTCCAACCCCGACCATTCTGTGATTCTGTGATAAGCAACGCCTAGAATAATTTTATGTACAATTTAACCCTTGTGACTCAGGTGCCATGAAAATTCATTTTTGAACTGCACAACACTAAGAAAACCAACCACTTACACAAAATGAATAAAATAAATTAAAAAATAATTAAAATGATGAGAAATACATTTTTGAAACTCATTTGACTGATCCGAATGAAACCTATGGAGAGAATAGCCTACTAAGCAACCCTCCTCTCTAGACAAAGCTGGGCATAGTAGGCTATCTCAGCACCTTCCCCTTCTTCAGCTCCACAGTGGGATACAGTGGTAGAATGTAAGTTATCTCCGTTCCTAGAGCCTTTGCTATTCTTACAGACAATACAACCATGGGCTTTCAGAATCCCAGAATGTTCGGGGTTGGAAGGGACCTCTGTGGGTCACCCAGTCCAACCCCCTGCCAAAGCAGGGTCACCCACAGCAGGCTGCACAGCACCGCGTCCAGGTGGTCTTGAATATCTCCAGAGAAGGAGACTCCACAGCCTCCCTGGGCAGCCTGGGCCAGGGCTCTGTCACCCTCAGAGGGAAGAAGTTCTTCCTCAGCTTCAGCTGGAACTTCCTCTGCTTCAGTTTGTACCCATTGCCTCTTGTCCTGTAAGTAAATGAAATCTGGCCTCAACTTTTATTTAGCCAGCTGCGTATGCCTCAGATTGAGCTGGAACACGAGCAATTTGGAGGGAAAAAGAAAACCACACATAATAAAGTACAAGCAATGAACTCCAGTGACTTTACTCTCCCCTGCAGCAATCCTTCCAACTGCTCTGCTCCTCCCCTCCCTCCCTACGTCATACCAACAATAAAAGGGAAGAAATTCAGCAAAGTATCTTCAGTGTCTCTGGGCTGCTCTCCAGAGAGCTTCACCAGAATCGCTCCAGAAACTGCATTTCTCAGCTGTCTCCATCCGCGAGGGGAGAACTTTGTACAGAGAGCACCTCGGGTCTTTACTTAACTGCAGTACAGTTCACAGCCAGGAAGCTAAAACAAAGTCCAAAATCCGTAAAATATTTTTCAAGCACCAAATTCTTACACCCCCCAAAATATATACACATATATGTAAACACATGCCTATGTGGGTGCGCACATATATATATTTATTTATATGTATATATATATTTATTTATATGTGCCCTTTTACAAACATATGTGTGTATCATGCTGGTTTCTTTCCTCTGAACAGCGAGGATGGTAACTTGTTTATCTACGGAAGAAAATACAAGGGTTTCTTTTCATAAATGATAGAACAGTTTGGGTTGGAAAGGACCTTTAAAGGTCATCTAGTCGATTTCCCCTGCAACGAGCAGCGACAGCTTCAACTGAGTATCAGTATCCTCCTTCTGACAACAGGCCACATACAACTGCAGTCCCCGCACTGGGTATACAAATTGGTGTTCAAAATCGCAGCCCTATTCTCTAGGCATCTGAAGATGCTTGACAGTTCTTTAACCAAGCGCCCACAACGTCTCAGCGGCTACCTTCCAAACACACAGCCTTTAGCAGAAAATCCAGCTTACAGAGCCCCCGTGCCCATGAACCCCGTCTCTAGCACTCACTCCAACCCCTCCAGGCTGTAATACTGCCAGTTATGCAGAACTATCTCATGATATGATATATGGTACGGTATGGTATGTTCTGTCTCGGGTATGAAAAGCCATCACCGCCACCAAAACAGCCTCCCTTTGCCCTGGAAGCCAACTGATAGAATCATTCATTTTGCAAAAGACCTCTAACATTATGAAGTCCAACCATCACCCAAACACCACCACGCCTGCTAAACCGTGTCCTGAAGTGCCACATCTACACGTTTTCTGAACACCTCCAGGGATGGGGACTCCACCACTGCCCCGGGCAGCCTGGTCCAATGCCTGACCACTCTTTCAGGAAAGAAATTTTTCCTAATATACAATCTAAATCTCCCCCAGCGCAACTTGAGGTCATTGCCCCTCTTCCTGTTGCTGGTTATTTGGGAGAAGAGACCAAGACCCACCTCACTACAACCTCCTTTCAGGTAGCTGCAAAGAGCGATAAGGTCTCCCCTCAGTAGCTGCAAATAGCGATAAGCGCACCCCTCAGCCTCCTCTTCTCCAAACTAAAAATTCCAGTTCCATCAGCCGCTCCTCCTAAGACTTGCTCTCTAGACCCTTCACCAGCCTCGTTGCTCTTCTCTGGACATGCTCCAGCACCTCAATGTCTTTCTTGTACCATAGCTCTCCAGCACAGCTCAGTAAAGGGCCACGAGACCACAGGAGGAATTTGAACACATAGCCATGTCATTTCGTAAGCTGGAACGTGGCAAAACATGGGGGTAACAGAATCACAGAATGGTTGGGTTTGGAAGGGACCTCTGTGGGTCACCCAGTCCAACCCCCTGCCCAAGCAGGGTCACCCACAGCAGGCTGCACAGCACCGCGTCCAGGCGGGGCTTGAATATCTCCAGAGAAGGAGACCCCCCAGCCTCCCTTGGCAGCCTGTTCCCAGGCTGCCTTGAATATCTCCAGAGAAGGAGACTCCACAGCCTCCCTGGGCAGCCTGTTCCAGGGCTCCGTCACCCTCAGAGAGGAAGAAGTTCCTCCTCATCTTCAGCTGGAGCTTCCTCTGCTTCAGTTTGTGCCCATTGCCCCTTGTCCTGTCGCTGGGCACCACTGAGAAGAGTCTTGGCCCCGTCCTGACATCCACCCTGCAGACATTTAGAGGCATTTCTAAGGTCCCTTCTCAGCCTTCTCTTCTCCAGGCTGAACAAGCCCAGCTCCCTCAGCCTGGTCGACAGGGTGCAGTAAGTCTCTTGGCTACGCATCGTTGCGGGTTTGATTTGCCATTTGTAAGCGCAATTTTCTGACAGGTTCTACAGGTTCCAGTATTTTGGTGGCGGTGGTTGCTCAGCTGTCCCCCATTCTGACAAATCTTTGCAGATTTAGGGACATGCCACTTTTATTCGGAAGCACCTACTAAAACATTCAGGTCGATACTCACATAATCGGGAAGCGGAGACTCATTTGAACCGAGGGAGCCTCTTGAGGACTGCGTGGATTGCTCCAGCACTTTGTTGTGTTTTTTAGACAGCAAAGCAAATAAACTGGAAGGAAAAAAAAAAGAAAAAAAAAAATTCACAATCCTGTTCTGAAATAGTTAGGCTACCCAGTCAGAAGAGATGTTTTATCATATACACAAACTTGAACAACGAGGTTTTTAAGATGCAATGCACAATAGTTATAGAATTTATTTATTTACTTCTTAATATCAGGGCTAAGCAACGGCAGAATTTGAATTTGAAATATTCTACACAATAAATGATGTGAACAAGATCATACGTTGACGGTTAAATTCTTAGAAGTCAAACTATAAGAGAAGGAATGGTTCACATGCAATTTTAGTTCCTAACCAGTGTGCGTTTGTGAAAATACAATTTTTAAGTGCAGCACCTCATGCGATATATTGCAATATATCCTGAAGCAACTTGTGTATTATTCACTTCAATAACCTAATTGGTTCAGTACAGGAAGAATCCAAATATATGACAGGAGCTTCGGGTATTTACAGGCCGTGTTTTTGCATTTTACTGGTACATGTTCTTTGCAAATTTATTTTAGCTTAAGTCAAGGAATAAAGCATTACCTTGGTGTTATAAATCACCTCTGGAATCCGAGGTCTACATACACACAGAGAAATAAACACTTATCCCAGTTCAAGAAAGATGAGGAGCTACTGGAGAGAGTCCAGCGGAGGGCCTACGAGGATGAGGAGGGGACTGGAGCATCTCTCCTACGAGGAGAGGCTGAGAGAGCTGGGCTTGTTCAGCCTGGAGAAGAGAAGGCTGCGAGGGGACCTTCTAAATGCTTATAAATATCTGCAGGGTGGGTGTCAGGAGGATGGGGCCAGACTCTTTCCAGTGGTGCCCAGCGACAGGACAAGGGGCAATGGGCACAAACTGAAGCACAGGAAGTTCCAGCTGAAGATAAGGAAGAACTTCTTCCCTCTGAGGGTGACGGAGCCCTGGCCCAGGCTGCCCAGGGAGGCTGTGGAGTCTCCTTCTCTGGAGATATTCCAGCCCCGCCTGGACAAGGTCCTGTGCAGCCTGCTCTGGGTGACCCTGCTTGGGCAGGGGGTTGGACTGGGTGACCCACAGAGGTCCCTTCCAACCCCTAATACTCTGTGATTCTGTGATTCTTGTACTTTGAAAAAAAGCATAGCAATGACACTCAGAGGATGGTATAATCTTATCTATAAGGAGAATATAACTTGACTGCAAGGGCGCAAGGAGATGTGAGAAGCAAGTAGAAGCCGTGGACAACGGCCAGCAGCTGGTGCTCAGCAGCTTCAAGGAGTCAGCGACTTTTGCAAAGCCACTGGATACCTCAAATATGGCTTCCAATTCACAGATTCACCTTCCCTCCTCCCCATCTTGGTGTAGGTCCTACGTTTTAAGGATTTCTGCATTTAAAAACACTCTCCTGGGTTCTTTGGTTGCATCAAGAGCAGTGTGGCCAGCAGGGCAAGGAAGGTGATTCTGCCCCTTTACTCCGCTCTCGTCAGACCCCACCTGGCGTCTTGCGTCCAGCTCTGGGGCCCCCAACACAAGAAGGACATGGATGTGTTGGAGTGGGGCCAGAGGAGGCCACGAAGATGATCCGAGGGCTGGAGCACCTCTCCTACGAGGACAGGCTGAGGGAGCTGGGGCTGTTCAGCCTGGAGAAGAGAAGGCTCCAGGGTCCTTAGAGCAGCTGCCAGTGCCTGGAGGGGCTACAGGAAGGATGGAGAGGGGCTTTTCACATGGGTGTGCAGTGATAGGACAAGGGGGAACGGCTCTAAACTAACAGAGGGCAGATTGAGATGAGATATTCGGAAGAAATTCTTCCCCGTGAGGGTGGTGAGCCCCTGGCCCAGGTGGCCCAGAGAAGCTGTGGCTGCCCCCTCCCTGGCAGGGTTCAAGGCCAGGTTGGATGGAGCTCTGAGCACCCTGGTCTGGTGTAAGATGTCCCTGCTGATGGCAGGGGGGTTGGAACCAGATGATCTTTAAGGTCCCTTTCAACCCAAACCATTCCATGATTCTATGGTTACGAGGCTCCTATCAGGCTTTCCTAGGATGGTTGTGTTGGCCCTTAGAGGGTAAAGAGATTGCCTTGACAAATAAGCACCAATAAAATTCCCTAATGCCTGAGCATGCTGCTCATGGACTTGTTTCTCCTTGTCGATGGGACAAGGAGCAGTGACAGACCTCTTGTTCAGTGGATCACTACGGAAATATTAAAGCCTGCTCAGCAATAAAAAAGAAAAAAAAAAGGCAAAATACTATCTCAGTGTTACAGTCGAGATAGTATCTATTTCTTGGAACCAGAGGACAGCTTCAGTGCTAGCAGGCTTGTGCTTGGAAATCTTTTCTCCCTTAAGAAATGACACTCAGCATTTAACAAGTCCTCTTGGTTTTTTTAGTTAAAATATATCATTCATATTGTATCCTTCACAGATGGTAGGAGTAGATTCCTTGGAGCATCAGGGCTTATCCCCTTGTTGCTAGTCAAGACCCTCAGGAAAAGGCTTTTCCAACACTTCTCCTCACCACCAGGAATGTTATGCATCTCCAGGCCAGATCTTACCTCTCGAGAGCCACCACAATAAATTCCACCATCTCCCACCACCTCTTCAGTCAGATATTTCTTAGAACAAGCTTAACAGCTTCCTTTTAAGGACTAACTTTGCCACACTTGAGGCATCTAATCAACCCACGTGAGAGCCCTTGGGTAGGTTGTACCATCCTCAAGGTTCAGCCAGAGTCCGCCAGCACAAGGAAGAGGCTCGAGACAGCACAGCCGAAACCAGGGTCGGTACCGCGGCCACCCGACTCCCGGTCCCTCCAGGCCACTATCTCTGGGGCAGTGACAGACGTAACTGGACTGATACGGCAAGAACGGCGGATGAGATTACAAGACCTCCCTGGTGGTTATGAGGGTGAAGAACATTTGTTTTTCAGGATAACACAATATATTTGACGTCATGAAAACGTGAATCTTATTTTTTCCTTCCTGCTCGCCAGCAGAGCCTCGACAAGACGTGTCATTCCTGGGAACAAATGCTAACCTCCCACTAAATCGCAGCTATTAGTCAAAACCACTAGAACATTCCTTGTTAAAGAGGGAAGAAGCAACACAGAAATAAGATAATATTAGTAGGCTTTCCACCTCCTTCCCCTCCCATAGCCTGCTATTGCATTCACAGACTGAAATTGTTGTTCTAATCAAAATTTGGATTTGCAAACTGGTCCTCGGGCTGAAAGAGCAGTGCTATATGTTCTGAATCCCCGGTATTTTTGAAGGTTCGGATTTCAGAGATACTGTCATCAGCACCATCTAGTGCTGTGGAGACAGAATAATCGGCTAAAACCAACCTGGCGATGCTTCTGGGGGGAGCTGCAGCAAGAACAGGTTGAATTTGCTGTCCATCTGCTTCCGAAGACACAGATAATTTCACAAGGAGAAAGAATTTGGGAAAAAAAAAAAGCTTTCCCATTAGTAGATTCTTTTCCAAAATACACAAAGCATTCTGGCTAGAACGGAAATGTAAATACAAACCAAGAATTGGGACCAGGATTTTCAAAAGTGCATTTATTCAATATATGTGAAGAGCAAAATGCACATATATTGGTATTCCACATGGAATTGGAATAGGGAAGAGCAAATTTATTTTCTCTGGCAGAAATTTAGAGATCTGGGAAAAAGCAGGGGAAAGGAAAAGGACGGAAGACTATTTCTTTATATCCTATTTTTGCTTCCTTAAATAATTCCCCCTTTTTTTTATTAATTAAGTGTAAAGTATCTAAACTAGAGTGCTTGTTTCTGGCACAAGCAAGCCCTTGGTGGCTGATTTCTACTTCCAAGGCAGCAGCGAGGGGGTACACTCGATTATATGCTGCCTTGTGAAGTTTTGCTTTCCTGTCACAGCTCATCACCTTTGCACCCGCACTCAGACACTTCTTTGGGGGACCGCTGCCCAGCACACCAATATTCAGGATAATAGAAATAGAATATCATAAAGATATAAGGAAGGTTATCCTTCTCAAAGAACCATCCCTTAGAGGAGCACGAGGGCAGGGACACGTAGGCAGGAATTTTTCATACTAAGACTAAAAACATACAGAACCGCACCCAGAGCAAACTCAAAAAGCTCCACAGAAACAATTCAACTAAACAGAAAAAATTCAGGCCAGATATCAGGATTAACTGATAAATCTGGAGCTCCGAAGGAAATAGCGTTGCCTCCTGAAATGGTGTAAAACTTCACCACCAAGTAATTCACTTATTATACCTCTGTCTCTACCTCTGAAAACCACCTTGACAAATTTCAACTTTTTTTTAAAGTATGAGAACTGATTTAGTTACAAACCTCAAAAGGCATTTGCATGAAATTTAGCTCGTAAATATCTTTCATCATCAACCAACTTTGCCTTCTTAAAGGAGCCGCTTCATTTTGCAGCAGTCACATCTTCAGTGTCTGTAAGGTTCTGGGCTTTCTTCTGATTTTTAAGGCACAAATAATGCAATGAAGAAAAGGCAACAATGTTTTACAACGAGGTTGTTCCCCTCCCCTCAACAAGGCACAAGAGACAAGCGCCAATTCACGCCGAGGTGGAAATGAAGACCATTTCCCAAACTTCCCACCCCTGTCTTAGTCACACTTCTGTTTTCACCCCGCTAAATATCAAGTTGAGATCGAACTGAAAAATGTATATACTATGCAGTCATAGAGGGCAGCCTGCACAGGTTGACAAGAACATGGATTTTTCTACCAGGATACTTTTCCTCTTTCTTCCGTTCTTCTCCACTGTCAGACAGGCTACGGAGCTCGACAGCCCTTTCATCTCACCTACTATGGACACGTCATAACTATAACAAATTATGTTAGGAATAACAAAAATGTCTTGGTACTTTGACCCATCTCTCCCAGAAGTACTCATGGACCAATGTTTAGTAAGCAAAATAATAGGTTGGAAGAGCAGCAAGACGAAATAACATCTGGCATCTATTACAGATCATCAGATCACACCATGGATGAGCTCAACCAACAAGGAAGGCTCAAGGCCAC